TTTCCTCTCAATAATGAAATAAACACACAACAAAAATGACAGCGGTGAGAAAACAGCAGTTAAGAAAGCATCTGATCACAGCGATGTGGATAAGCTGTCCAGTGTGGAGCGAGCTAATAAACTTTTTATTAGTGAATGCAAAAATAAATAAATGAATACAAATAAATAAAACAATCATTAAAGTGATAGTTTGGTTTGCATAGATTAAAGCTTGATCTAGCTCAGGACTGTTTTGATCACTAGAACAAGAGTTAATGTTGTGAATAAAATAATTTATCGAAAATAAAATGTTCATATGTGACTTACAGAAGGAAACATTAGGCAGAAATTAAAGGCAGTTAATTAGGCTAAATGGTGAATGAGAAAGTCTCTGTCATCTAATTTTGTGTGCTAAATATATTGATTTGTAACAATCGATTATCAAAATAATGGTTTGTTGCAGCCCCAGTTCACACACAGCATCTTACTGGTAATTAACTGGTAACATTATAACGAATTAACCGGTATTTTTGAAAAGGTTCTGTTCACACATGACTTCACGTGTGAAAGGGGCTACTGATTGATCTATTAAGAGTAATTTGTCCTCAGTCTGAATCAGACAGTGATCGCATACACACATGAGACGGTCAGACATGAACCGACCCAAAAAAGTACTGCGGTAATACCATGTTTCTGGACCTGTACCATCATAGTATTCCTGTATCCGCCTTAGAGCTGTGTGTGTGTGTGTGAGAGAGTGTGTGTGTGTGTGTGTGAGAGTGTGTGTGTGTGTGTGTGTGTGTGAGAGTGTTGAAAATCTAAAAATGCACAAAGTTTCCTGTGAGGGGTAGGTTTAGGTGTAGGGTAGGTGTAGGGCAATAGAAAATACGGTTTGTACAGTATGAAAACCATTACATCTATGGAGAGTCCCCATAAACCATAAAAACCAACCTGTGTGTGTGTGTGTATGTGTGAGTGTGTGTGTGTGTGTGAGATACCTGTGTCTCCAGCATCATCATCTTCATCATCTTCATCATCGGGGTTCAGGGCAGATGAACACCCCTCTCTCATGAGGGGCACATATTCACTGATCCGAATCCTCCATCTCCGAACCGAATCTGCTGGAATCACTTCGAGCCTTTCTTTGATCAGATCGGATCAATACGAGACAGAATCCGGCTTCAGTGATCGACAATCCGCTTTATACAAACCACCATAACCTGTGACTGAGAGGAAGAAATCAGGAGACGGGGAAGAAATCCATCATCACGAATAAAATCCTGATATTAAATCAGATTCAAAATGGAGGCAGGCGATGCTGAAGAAGAAGAATCAGCGCAGAAATGATTTCACATCACATCCATATTTCACCGCAGATCTGTTGATCCGTCATTAATCGATCTGATCCCGGGCTTTCACTCATGAACATCTGATCCGGATCGGATCCGTGTGTCTGTTTCGATCAGCGCTCGCGGAATCCGAGTCGGGCCCGAATCCCGCGGAAGCTCCGAATCTGATGAGTGTGTTCTGCGGCCGTGTCCTCGACAGATCCAGACCTGATGTGGGTCTGTGGGTCTGCGGCGGGAGCGCGCACGGCAGCGGAGGACGTGTGCTCGCTGAAGATCACTACATACTACATACTACACACTACATACTACACACCGCGATCAGGCGCACTTCATGTATGATACACGGCTGGAGGCCTCGCTGCTGGAGGAGTTTCCATGGAAACAGAGAGCTGCTGACTGCATACTAGTGTGCTGCGTACTGCACAGTGCATACTACATAGGCCACTGCTTCAAACCAGTATGCGAGGGTTTCAAACAGCTGTAATGTAATAACCAGAGGAGGACAGTAATGAAGTACATTTACTTGAGCACTGTGCTCGAGTACACTTTTTGCGTATCTGTACTTGAGTATTATTTTTTCTGGAAACGTATGGCTAACTTCACTACACTGGAAAGACAAATATCGTACTTTTCACTGCATTACACTTCTATCACGGTCCTCGAAGTAGAAAGGCATTACTATGCATGTAGCAGTGTTGAAAGTCAGAGGGCGACTGTATTTTTCAGACAGTTTATCAGTAATCACTCTTGTAGAGCTGCATGAAGTGATTTCCCAGCGTTTTTTGAACACTGACCAGTTGCAAATGTGATATTCACTGATCCGAATCCTCCATCTCCGAACCGAATCACTTCGAGCCTTTCTTTGATGACGACGAGAAACACAATAATCCGGCTTCAGTGATCGATAATCCAGTTTATATAAACCACCATAACCGCAAACCAATGGCTGGGAGGAATAAATCAGGAGACGGGAAATAAATCCATCATCACAAATAAAATCATGACATTAAATCGGATTCAAAATGGAGGCGATGCTGAAGATCAATCAGCGCATAAACGATTTCACATCGCATTCATATTTCACCGCAGATCTACCTATCCATCATTTGTCGATCTGATCTGTGTCTCGTTCATAAACATCAGATCCGGATCGGATCCGCGAGGGCTCGTGCGTCCG